CGCCCCCCCCCCGCATAAAAACCGTAACCCGTAGTTGTCGCAACCTGCATAAAAGGAGCCTAGCCTGCGTTCATCGCATTCATAACATCAGACGGGGTAATAAAAGTCATCCCGCTCTCCATGCTCCCCATCCTCCTTCCCGATGCCTCCAGCCCCCTCCCCAGCGGCACCCGGAGAACAGGGGAATCAAAAAGCGACACGAGTCTGTGGGGTGTGGGGTAAAATGGGGTGAGAATGGGAGGAGAGGGCGATTATTGTCGAGCGACAGCGTGGAGGCACACAGAACAGAACACAACGCGCGATACCATTTTTATCGGATATCCAATTTCGGTCGTGACGCAAGGGAGATAAAAAAAAAGGAGGATGGGGAGTTGGCTTCGGAAATTTTCCATTTTTCCATGCAAGCGGAGTGGATATTGTAGGATAGGATGAATATGGCTCGTGTATAAAACCCAGTCACAAAGGCAAATAACGCTGTGTTTTTATTTTCACTTTTTATTCTGTTCATTTTTGTGATGCTTGGGAAATACCGGAATGCATTGCTTCAGGATGAACGAAGAAGTGGATGCAATATAAATATGAACTGATTAGGATGAGGGTTCAAATTATTGGCGGTGATTGATGCATTTTCATGTTTTTAATGCATTCATTGTTCCATAAAAAAATGGTTGGATTAGATTGTCGTGGGTGAGAGAAACAATTACACGGTATTACGTTTACCAAGGAATTATTTTCTTGGGAGAAGAATTGATTTTTTCAGGAGCGTATTTCTTCAGGAAATACTAAACGTTAATTATTGTCAATTAACTCCATTGACAGTTATTAACATTTAAAATTGTTCCAAAATATTTTACGTAAGAAAATCTAAAATTTGAATAAATTGAAAAATAATGAGTTTCTGTTCAAGTGATATGAAACATAATCATCTCATAACTCAACATAATTCTAATATTTGGAAATGGACGTGGACCATCTGAGAATGACTACGCTCCTAAAAAATAAGTTCTCCCAAGAAAATGAGTCCTTGGCAAAAGATATTATTCATGTTTCATGTTTTCTTTTGCGATTTCCGGCGAGGGACACAGAGATCACTTGACGACCCCGGAAAATATGCTAACAGAGAGATGGGGGATTATGAGTATTATAGGCATGTAACGATTATCATTCATCCCCTTAAATGTCATCCGGCTCGAGAGCAACCCCTCGAGTTGGGTCAAGTGTATATTGTTGTGTATCTGTTCGGCGGGGAGGGGGACATCGGGCAGAAAGAATCGCAACTATTTCATTTAGGGAAGATTAGACGGATTATGGAGCGAGTGACACAGGGGGAGAATGCCCCGGGGCCTTTGGGCTACACGCAGATGCTTGATTAAAGCGACGACTTTTCGAGTGACTCGAGATCATGGAGACTAATTAAGTCAAATTGTGGAGAAAAAAAAATTCCTTTTAATAATTAATAATTGATCATTTTTGAAGGACTTATTAATACAAAAAAATCAATTGAAAAATTAATTTGATGATTGATAATTATTTATTGAGAGATTAGTAATTGTTTTTTTGTTAATTTTGCTTTTTTAATTTGGAAATAAGTAATTGGGTTTGTTTCAATGCGAAATATTATTCTTGTAGAGGGAAATTAATTATTTATGTCAACTCCCATAATTGCAATTTTTTAATTACTTCAGGAATTATTTTTGATATACTTAATGACCCTTCTAAGGGTGCAACATGTTCATGAAGAAATGTTTATTTTAATCAATGAACCCTTTCAATTCGCTCGTCACTCTCACTTTGAGATTTATCTGGAATTATCACTGATGAATGTCCAACAGTGATTTTAATCGGATCAAATCCTTTCCATCTTCCATCATCAGTTCAACTCGCTACGGTATCAGTTTAATTACTGGGATACTCTTTGTTTTTGTTTTTTTTTTGTTCTCAATGGATCATTAGAGAAAATCCGAGGGATAATTCTCGTGATGGGAGCGTTAATCCAAAACGGTAATGGTGAAAGTTGCATCATAATTTAGCCAATGTTCCAGGAAAAAACTAATTGAATTTGTGAAAACGTGCCGAGATTATGGAATTCATTACACGAAAACCAGGATTTTTTAAAATTTGAAGTCAAGAAAAAAAGGGAAGACTAAGGATTATAATTTTCCCCTTTGCAATGGAATTTTTTGTAAACTAAAAATAAAATTTGGAAGTTGTTGACGAAAAATTGCACGAAATACATTTAATTTTTGATCATTGTCATTTCGCATGTTCGGTATTTTTCCTGCATTTTTTTTGTAATGTTCTGTTGATTTGGAATAGGAATAATGATTTTGAAGGAAAAAAAGTGAGACAAAGGATTAATTTTCTCCTTTGCAATGGAATTTTTTGTAAACGAAAAGTGAAATTTGGAATTTGTTAATGGAAAATTACAAGAAAGACATTTCATTTTTAATCATTTTCATTTCACATGTTCAGTATTTGTGCTACATTTTTTTTGTAATATTCTGTTGATTTTTTCGAGATCTTTTATTTAATGTAGGATAATTAACGAATTATTCTGTTCATCTCAAAGCTTTTTTTCTTCATTAGTCAGAGATGATGGAATTTATCATACGAAAAATTACTGTGCAACTAAAGTAATTCAAAAGCAAAATTGTATCTCAAAATTAAAAAAAATTTGAAGTAAGAAAAGTGAGACAAAGGAGTTTTCCCTTTGCAATGTAATTTTTTGTAATTAAAAGTCAAATTTGAAAGTTGGTGATGGAAATTACAAGAAAGACGTTAACATTTTCATTATTGTCATTTCACGTAAGCGTTCAGTATTTTTCTGTTGATTTATTCCTCCATGGGTGAATTTTATCAGCAATTCTAAATTTCTGATTGCATTGAGCATACTTTTCGCATTGTTTTGTCTATCGCAGAGTTTTTCTGTTTTTTTCCTTGGCCAGGCAGAGGAAATTGGATATTTGGAAGGTACATACCACCAGGAACAGGAATAATCAGGTGATTCTGGGAGGTGACACTGGGAAGTGATACTGGGATACCAGGATATGTCTTTTGTGTCATGTGTTCTGTGTTGTAATCCCTCATAACAATGCTAAAAACCAAAGTCCAATGTTTCAACAGTCGAACACTCGTATTTTCACACTTTTATCACAAATATCACACGTTGAATCACGGATTTGACGCAGAAATTCACAATTACGGGATGAAATCACCATCAATCACTCAAAAATCGATAATTTTGTCGATTCACGTGGACCCGGACTGAACACAACGCAAAATAAACAGCGAGAACAATGAGAAACTCCGCGCACGCGCACTATTTATCAAGAAATTGTTGATAATATGGCCGCCGTGGCCGGTGGATTTCGCGGTTTTTCTAGAGAATAACACACATTATCACATTTACATACTTATTACGTCGCGACACTCGTAATTACGGAACATTAATGATTAATTAGCGATTATCTGACGAAGTAATTAGACAATTACTCGAGTTGAACCATTAGTTTCATGCATCTACGACCCCGAGACCGACGAACGTACGTTTCACCGCGAGAACAATAGGTCACACTGTGCCTGCACACACACATCTACGAATTGTTAACAATATGGCCGCCGTTGCCGGTGAATTTCGCGGTTTTTCTGGAGAATATCACACATTATCACATTCACACAATTATTACGTTACAACACCCGTAGTTACGGATCATTAATGATTAGCTATCGATTACCTGACGAATTAATTAGACAATTACACGGGTTGAACCGTTATTTTATCGTATTTACGACCCCGAAACCGAGGAACGCATGTTCCACTGCCAGAACAATGGGACACACTGCGCATGCGCACAATTCATCAACGGATTGTTAACAATATGGCCGCCGTGGCCGGTGTATTTCGCGGTTTTTCGAGAGAGAATACATATTATCATATTTACACACTTATTACGTCGCGACCCTCGTAATTACGGATCATTGATGATTAATTAGCGATTATCTGATGAAGTAATTAGACAATTACTCGAGTTGAACTGTTATTTTCAAGGATTTACGACCCCGAGACCGACGAACGCACGTTCCACTGCCAGAACTACAAAGTTAGACTGCGCATGCGCACAGTCCAATCAACAATATGGCCGCCGCACCCGGCGATTTTGGCGGTCTTCTCGCGAGTTGTCACATTTCTCTCTGTGTTACGTGCTCACATCAATAATTAGAGACATAAATCCATCAATTACTCATCAGTTATCAACCAATCAATTGAAAATCCGTTAAAACATTCTGAGAACTGCATAAAATCGTCATTAAACACTCGGAAATCGATGCGTGTGTGAATCTATGTGGACCTTTGTGTTAATTATTTTGAGATCAAGAAAGTGTGATTTCCAAAAATTATTATAAAAAAAAATTCTGAAAAAGTACAGCCAAACCTGACACCACAGACTCGCATTTCGCGCTTGCGCACGGTATTTACACATGGTCGCCTTGACTTCGCGGTGTTTTCACGTCTCGGTGACATTGTCACATGTCATCTCGTGTTTTTCGTGCTCCCGTGACAAAATTCACAACAATAAATTGTCAATTGCGATAAAACATATCCCTCGAGTACCCTAGGATATCAAATTCAATCGGGTTCATGCGAAAGTGAAAAATGGTCGGCGGTATATCGCAAAATGGACAGAAGGCGATTATTTTGGCCGGCTGTGCTTGTGTTGGAGCTTACGTTGCTTATCATTATTGGAAAAAAAGGGAGCTGAAGGCGATTGATGAGGGCTTCGAGGACCTGGCGAAGGTTTATTCAATTTGTTAAATAATGTTTTTCGTATTTTATCACCTTATCTCTCCTTTTATCACCGATATCTCGTGATCAAACGATACGATTTGGACGACTCAAAGCTCATTTTAAAGCTTGAAAAATTACCTTTAAAACGAAGAGAAAGACAGGAGAATCGTCTCTGCCGTTCTTGAGTTATTTAAGATGAAAGACGAACCTGGATGTGCAGGAAGTAACCTATCATGCTTTTTGTGTTTAGATCGATGACACTCATGAACGACGAGTCCTCCTCCTGGGGCTCGATGGTGCAGGCAAGACTTCTGTCATGAACCAGGCAATTGCTGCTGACAGCCCTGGCAATTTCTATCAAATGCCACCTAGACCCACTGATGGGTTCGCTGTTTACAAACTGAGGAAGGGGGATTACATCTTCAATATTTGGGAAAGTGAGTAGCAGCTGAATTTTTAATAATTTATTGATGAGAGGAATTTATTACTCTGTAGGAAGAAAATGTAATAATGCAGTCATCTTTAGCTTTGAAATTAATTATTTATCAAAGGAAAAAAATGGCAGAAAAAGATATTCCTGAGGGATTTGGGATTTTTTTAAAATAATCCAACGATACCAAATTTGTTCATTTAATTATAATATTCATTCAATTATATTTTTTCACTGATCTTTCATTTTAAGTGAAGAAATTGTCATCATTAATATGATTTCTCTCATTTGCAGTTGGTGGAGGTGCTGATACTAGAAAATACTGGAGTAATTTCCTCCAAGACACAGACCTACTTGTGTTCCTAGTTGATGCTGCTGACTCTGTTAAATTGTCGTTGGCAGTGCAAATGCTCAAGCAACTGCTTGGAGACCAGAGAATGGACAATGTCCCTATTTTAGTCGTGGCAAACAAACAGGTAAAATACAGGCATCAACCATAACTTCTCATTCCACAGTAATTGAGGATATTCCAGTTATTTTTTTTTTTCGCTGAAATCCTTTTCAATATTTCATTATTCGAACTTCAAAACGTTTTAAAAACTAGAAAAATCAGTCTTTTTTTCAATTCATAAAGTAAATGACAAATTGTGATTTCTAAAGATAACGACTTTTTAATTACGATTAGTTTTAAAAATCAACACCACGAATAAAGCGAATTTATTTTTTATTTATTTGTATTCCTCAGGATGATCCTCACGCCATGAAGCCAAATCAGATAAAAGAGGCCCTAGACCTCTACAGCATTTCGCCCCATCAGCACCGAGTAGAAGTGATTGGATGTCAGACAGGACCCCTTCCAGCCCTGGAGCCAGGCCTCACAGAGTATGACTGGTTTCACCCCTCGATCGAAACGGTCAGAAAGAAAATATTCACGTTATCAACAATATCTTGAATTTTAAGCCAATGAAATAATCTTCACCGCATTCCACTCTCCTCGAGGAACCGAAAATTTAGTGTTTTATATGATCTGTTGTCTCCCAGAACTGAAGTTTGAATGTGATTCAAGCTCATGTCAAAAAATCGAGGTGAAGCGATGAAAAAATTGAGACAATTGAGGAGATTAATCAACTTCGCGTTAAATTAACGAGATAATTCTGACAGGTTTATGCAGAACTGAAAAAAATAATGAGGGAACTTTAGTCAAGCTCTTCTGCATTAATTAATTCATACGGCATTCATTTTAATGGTGGAGTGAAGATGAGGACTAAACTGAATCTCAATTAAAAATCACTAAAATTACGATTACCTTTAATACGAAAAGATGAACAAATTGAAGAGAATTAAAAAGATCAATTAATGAGATTATTTAAACAGCTTCATGCAGAACTAAAGAAATTAATTCATCAAGTTTTAAATTCAAGTTTAATCGTAAAGTAACAGCAGTCAAACTTCTTCAGCATCAATCAATTCATAAAGGATTAATTAATCATGAACTGCAATCAACTGCATTCGTAAAACATAAAAATATTTCAGTTTTTTAAAGAATTGTGGGAACTGGCATTCCTTCAGCTCACGTACGGAAAAAAGCACTGAAGGGTTCAAAAAATGATAAAAATAAGAAAAAACTTTCTACTTTTATTCAAAAGAATTACATAAAGGGATATTTTTCCAGCTCATGCTTGAAAAAACATTTGTACTAAAGAACAATCAATCAACTTCGTATTAAATTAAGGAAATTATTCGAATAACTTTATACAAAACAAGAGATGTTAAATCATGAATTAAAGGATTTCATAACTTACGCTTCCTAAAACTTCATACAAAATTTACGAATTATGGAAATGGCCTGAATATCATTTAAAGATCTACGAGACCATTCCAATAACTGAATAATTGTCTTTCTCAATTCAGAAGATGGTATTGAACAGGTATTCAATCATCTAACCAAAAGATAAGTTCAAGGAATCATTAAAAAATTATATTCTCTGCACGAAACGAGAGACATTAACTGATTCTTATTTACACTTCCATTTTTGTAATTAAAAAAATCAAGTTTGTGATAGAACGACGGTATTTATTTACTGTCATCGTTATTCATTCCTCCTCAGTCGTATCATCTAGATCCCTGAAGCCCTCTCCATCGTCGTCTCCAGTTTCAATTTTCTCTCTGCAGTTGATGATTTAGTTTTCGAACCTTCTGCATTCCCCTCATCATCATCATCATCGCCCAAGGTTTTATTCGTCTTAAACGTCTTCCTCCTCCTCATCATCACCTATTATATGAATTATGAATTAAGTGTCATCGACAATATTTATTCACTGTCCTCCTCATCCGAGACAAATTCTCCATCATCCAAGATATCGTCCTCCGACAGTTCCTCCTCACTCATATCATCTAGATCCCTGAAGTCCTCTCCATCGTCGTCTCCCTCCAGCTCTTCACTATCCTCACTGTCACTCGATGATAATCTCTCCAGTCGATCCTCACGTTTGCTCCTCCCACTCGTCTTACCATTTTTTTTCTCAAGCACCTTCTTCCTATCAGCACCCTGGCCCTCCTCGCTCTCGTCGTCAGGGAACAGCTTTAATTTTCCCTCTGCAGATTTATTTTTCGAATCTTCTGCATTCCCCTCATCATCATCATCTTCCAAAGTTTTATCCGTCTCAAACGTGTTTTCCTCATCATCTCCAATCGTCTCCTCAATCCACTGCCCAATCACACTCTTCTTCTTCGTCTTCTCTCTCTTACTCCTGCAGTACTTCTCAACATTTTCCGCAGCAATCTTCTTCCTCGTCTCCTCCAACGTCATCGGGTCATCCAGAACAATCTCCCCACTCTGCACGAGGTACTCTCCATACTGCTCCGGGATATTCTTGAACGTATTTATCTTCTGGCGAATCTGCCTCCAAGTGAGTTGGTAATAGTTCTTCTTGTCGCGTGCCATCGCCTTGTAATCCTCCCCGTACTTGTCCATTAGCTGTGTCAGGAAGAGAACCTGCCCTTTGGGGAGTCTGAACAGCCTCTCTCTGGGGGCTCGAGCCTCTGCTTCTAGGTCCTTAGCCACTTGGATCTTCTGCGGGGTTCTCTTCCTCGGGGGAGCTTCCTCGTCGCTTTCTGCTAGATCACCTGATGCCTTTCGTTTCGCGGATTTTATCAGGGCGCTCTTCACGTTCGGGACCTTCAGAACCTGGTTTGGGTCGTAGGCTAGACCCATCTGGTGCAAGTTGGTTTTTGTGGATTTTTTCGAGTTCCAGGCTTGCTTTATCTGTGGACTGTTATTCTTTAGGTCATTTGGGGACAATTAATGCTCGAGGCGAGGTACATTGTGAAAACAATATTTATTTAGGGGAGAGCGGGACAAAATGTAACAGTCGGAAAATGACTGTTTCACGCAATTCAAGCAATGAAATTAATTGATTTTTACATTGTTTTTGTTGCCAAGTAATTATTAATTATCATTTAATCATTAACTAATTAATGTCGTTTGTCTAGTTATGGAATTAAAGTTTTTTTTTAATCTACAAATACTTTGCTAGGATTTTATTATTTAAACTTGAAGAGCTTCATTTGATTCTTCATTTTCAACCGCTGGCACTCATTTCACGAATGTAAAAATATTTAAAAAATAGTTTTTCAGGAAAATTTGGAAAATTATTAGGAATATTGAATTTTTGAAAATTTGTTCTCAGAAATTACTTCATGCAAAAGAAATAATAATATTTTTCCAAGTTTGAAACAATTTCCATGATTTATTTACAAACAGGAAATTTTGAAAACAAAAATTTTGTTTTCAAAACAAAGTTTAAATAAAGCTTGAATTATTCCAAGATTTTCTTCAAACTTTTCTCACCAAAATTGATAAATTTTACAAATTTGCTACTATTCAGAGAAATACATTGTGAATGTTTTAGGTTAAAAATTACTCACCAAGTTATACTCGGAACTTTCCGCAATTTGTTCCGCAATCTTTTTCTATTTATACTGACTTTGTAGGTCTTCCTACGCTTCACCTTTCGCACTTTTGTCATTTTACAGTTTTTTTCAAAACACTTTTAATGAAAAATAGAATAGATTATTCTGTTTGTCGATGACACGTGCCAAGAGTATATTCTGGTGAGGTGGTTAAACAGGGTTCGATATTGCAGATATCCTCAGAAAAAGTCTTCCGAATCGAATGTTCTAGTGCAGCGGAACGTTGAGAGATGGCGGGATTATTCTCATTTCCAGCGGAATTACAAACTGAATATAACTACACGGAGAGAAATATTCAATAAAAATTACCAGAAAAAAGACGTAAAAATTACGTTTCGAAACGTAATCTGGGAGCGAAGTAAAATTCAATAAAAAGTGTCAATCGTCACGTAAATTCTACAATCTGTTCCGTAAAAATTACTCATCCGTCCGACAAGATCCGATCAATTAGCCCCTCATGTATAGATATTCCAAATTTTTATTTTTTTCCTCATTGAAGTAGTTTTGAAGAAAATTGCGAGCTAATAAAAAACATTGCTAGTTAGTACTTTTTTTTAAATAAATTTTTGAAAAATCACCCCTGAATAAAAAGGCGTTATCCCCCCTATTTCATTATTTCCAAAAAATTTTATCAGCAATCGGTAGCAAATTGTTTGCAGATTTTTGCGAGTTAAGAAGAAATCGTCAATGTACTCCTATTATTGTGTAAATTAACAATTCCAATTTCAACTGAAAACCAGAATTGATGACCAGCGTTTGTAGCAG